CTGACATAGTAACAACATTTATAAGAGAGGAAGGCTTCTGTGTTTTAAAGGCCCAATCCTTTAACTACTGAACCAATAAGATAAGAATGTTTTATTCAATTATCTACTTGTGGCGTGAAACAACTGTCTATCAAGTGTGATATAGCATTGATGATATCACAGGTGACTTCTCCAGCAATTGTTCATTTTTATGTCAACAACAAATTTAATGGATTCCCAATTTTTTTAGTAAGTAAGCACGATGTGTTATGTACAATATACAATACCAACCAGTTCTTTGATCATTTAGGATTTGTGTCAAACAAATCCCAATTTCAAACAGAATTGCCCATGCCCCCATTGCCTAGCTGCAGGTGTGCTTACTCATGAAAATGGTTGTCATAATCAGCTTGTAAAGCCGCAGGTTTTGTAAACGGACAGAGAACAACCACCCACAATCAACTTCCTTTGATATTGCCCCCTCCTTTGCTCATATTCATAATGTACAAGACTTTTTATTCCCAGATTTCTACAAGTAAAGTTGTTTGTCTTTTCGGTACGGAAAGAGGATTTTGTGTCACATTGTGTTTATTGACCTGAATGTCTACCTTCTTCAACAGGAATATAAATCTTCCTTACACCTTAGCTGCTGTATTAATTAAGCTATCCTGTAGGGGGAGGATAGTCTGATTAAATCACACCCCCAGCAATCACCATGCTACAGGGGTTTATATTACAGAGATCAGAGAGGTCATTAGTACAATGTTTGTTCCAAGCAAAGCTGTTTCCTGTGGCTCTTACACTGTAAACCCTTCCCCAACAAACACAAGTATTGGTTCAGACCCACCTGCACCCAATATACTACACGGAAAACACTGCCTGTGGTAGCCAAACATTTCATCTAAAAGTACAGACTCTGCCAGTGGCTAAATAATGCATCGATTTAAAACAGTGATAAGATACATATATATGGGGGCCTGCATGCCCTTTTTCATAGAGCGTAATCGGCCATTTTGCATAGATCGTAATTTGCTGTTTTATTTTACGTAATGCGTTGTAGCTATCCAGAATTTATCGTAAAGGGTAATGGGGGAGGTTTCTTGAATTCGGTATAATATGTAGCTGGCTCTCAAAATTTAGCGTAGAGCGTTGTCAGGATCCCCCCATGCAGGCCGTCATATATGACTGAGTTTAATAATGTACATGTATGGTCAAAGATGAAAGATTGCAATGATCAAAGGCACCTCTCCAACACAAAATAAGATCCAAGCCCCACATTTCAACTCAAGTCCACTTTCATTTACATCATGTGCACAACATAAAAGGATACAATTTGCAGCCTAGTAAAGTAAAGTACACATCTCGTCTGCAAAAGAACAGCTTGATAAAACAAAGGCTGTTAGCCAACGCTTGAATGTAAACTGTTTTTATGTCCTGGGTAAATGGAGATATTCACTTAGCTCTGTTTGAGATAACGTTTTCCGTCTTACCGCTCAACTGTAAATTTCAACTCTTAAAAATATACTGGAAATTCATTAATTTTTGCAGGGGCTTCATTCTGCTGTAGAAATGACGTTTGGGCCATATATTAATGTAAATGTAGTATAGCAGAAATACATTGGAAATGCATTTTTGAAGTGTCACATATTTATTCTCAGTGTGAAAATAAAACCACAATCATTCGAAGATTCTCTGTTTCACTAGATCTAGTTGAACATGATAATGACAGCTTGTGCCAAATGTAAAGACTGTGTTGACAGTATACCACTTTCCTTCCTCTTGGAAGCAGATGTCTTTTGTACCCGAAGTTATGTAAACATAATCTGAGGAAGCTAACAACCAGAGCCTTTTACCTGGCACAAGGTGAGTAAACTTTGAGAGGGTTTTCATCTCAGAGAGTTTTTTTACAGTGAAGATCGTGTTTCAACCCCCAAGGGTTATGGAGTATACCTTGGATGAATAAGTCTTCTGTGCACTCACCTTGTTGTTATGGTATAATATAACCCACCTTTTCAAGTGGGACATTGGAATAGCAAGGATGAATCCACCTATGTGCTAGCAAGGATCTCAACAGGTGTTTCTATGTGACTTTAGCTATGTGCAGGTTACACTTGTTTATGCCCTTACCAAATGCACTTGCATTTATGACGATTTGAATTACTCAATAGGAATTTTCATATCATATCCAATTCCAAATCAAGTGCCAGCTAAAGAGATTTAAGAAACTTGAAATTCTCTTCTTCTCAAAGTCATTTAAATTTATTTGAATCTGCAGTATTCTGTTCAGTTGTTTGTTTAACAAAGTATGTTAGACTTTCTGGTCAAGTTCAAACACAGTCCAGACCATAAAACATGATAAATGTTACCACATCTACTGATGGAAGTAACCAAACTTATCTGCAGTCAGTAGAAACATTTACACAAACTTGGCTGACATGACTAAATCTATACAGAACAATTACAGTCCCAGTAAGCTAAGGTTGGCTAACATCCGGCTTTACGAAAATGTGTATCTGCTGTTTTCTTTTTCCGGCCAATAAACATTTACAAGTGTCCAAACACACGGAATACACACATAGGTGCTAATCAAGGAAGTGAGACACTTAAAAGTGCTACAAACTGTTCTGATGCAAATAGTTTCTCATGTTGGCCTTTGTTTTCAGGATGTGTACTGAATCTGGCCACACACAGTCCCGAACTGGGAGATTTTTCCCGACAAATTTTCATCAGTGGTTAAAAGCCTTTTGGGAAGGAGATGG